TTTTCGCCTTTGTATAATATTCTTACTAGATATAAGCTGTTTTATGAGTAGCTGTGTCTGTTTATCTGATTAGCAGTGAATAACGATCAGATTTTTAAAAAAGAAAATGTATAAAGTCCAAGTCTTGCATACATACCTAAATAATCCCAAATGCTTGATTTTTGGCATTAGGACAAAGGTTGAATAGTTTTAACCAAGTATCTGGTCAACATTGTGCCCTTCACTGAACATGTTGAAGAAATTGTTGTTATAAAATGCAGAAAGGTTGATGTCTGTTGGTTATGTAGTGAACAAAACGCCTTCGATCTGACCTTTCTCCGCCACCTTTTTTTAATAAGTCCCTTGAAGATGTAATTGATTAAACATTTAGCAACAACAGCATTTTGCGTTTTCAAAATGTGAATGTGTTTTGTGTCAGACTTCCCTGATCAAAATTTTGCTAACTTTAACTTTCCCAGCTAATTAATCAGTTAAGTCTTTTCAGTGAGCTTTTCTCGTTATATCACGTAATGTAATTACACTTTGAAATCTTGAATGTAAAACGATTTCAGCCTCGAAGATTTTTATAGCATGATATAAGGAAAAAAATTAACACTACTAGTGGTTATTTCCTTTTCTTATCTATTTCTTAGTGAGCTACTGAGCTGAATAATAACAGGCTGGGACCAGTAGCTGAGAAACCAACACTGGCAAATATGAGAGTGTTTTTATGTCAAACATTTTTCTTAAAGTTTTCTAAAGAAATGTGTCTAAAGCAGATGACCAACGTACACATGCTATCCATTAGTATATCTACATCTATGCTAATGGATAGCAGAGAAAATTGGCAATCAAATAGGTGACCAGCCTCAGGATGCTAGTCACTAGCCTCTCCAGTGCTAAAGCCAGTGAATAGTATCTATCTCATTTCCTATCAATTATTAATCAGATCAGGGGATGGCTTTGGAGCCATCTACTGGCTACTTTCTGCTTGTGGAAGAAAGTGGTCACCGACGGGTGCTATGGTCTTAATTTTGGCCCTAATGCTGCGCCATAATTTTTATCTTTGGGTCAAAAAAACGCAAAAATTAGTTTTACTTATTTATGGCAGCACATTTTCTCAAGTTCTCTTCTGATTGGTTGGTCAGGACCTCATGATATCTCATTTCCCAAAAACCCACTGAATACTGAACCACAAATACAGAAGCACCTAAGTACCTGTGTCAGAACCACGCCTGGTAAATTCGTCCATTTTGGCTAATATATGCAGAATCGGTCTAAAAATAAAATGTATATATATATAATCTCAAATATTACTTCTTTAGTAATCCAGATTCTTTTTGTATTCCTTTCAACCCCGTTTCATAGCTCTTACAGTAGACGTTAGAAACGTTAACCCATGTTGATGTTGAAAAACTAACCCAAACCTATTGTGTCAAATTATGTCAGAGCTGGATCAATACATATCTGAAGCCCAGGCTGGGTAAACAAAGGAACCCAAACTGGGTTGTTTCATTGTGGACTTCTTCTCAAGAACTAAATGTCAATTGGATTATTTAGAGGAAATAATGATCATGAGTAAGTGAGTTACTGAAGACTTCAAACTTTGATAAGAAGTGTTTGTAAGTGCTTGTTGACTGTTTTCCCGAGATGAGTTTTCAATACATGAACCAACAGATCCAAAAACATCCAGACCAAAATAACTTTTTTTAAGTAGAAGAAATTCGGCTTCACAATCTTATTTTAGCAAAAATCATTGAATGTTTCACACAAAAATTATTTATATTGCTGTCTCTGAAAAAGGGATAAAGAGGGATTTTTTTTAAAATGCTAAGAATAAGTAATTTAAAATAAGGGAAAAAGGTGATGATAAAGTAGGGCATTGTGTTTGAGAAAAGTCTCAGGTAATCTACTTTAAAGTGTGTAAAGTTTATTTAGATCAAGCATTAAAGTGCTCAGAAGCCACAAGTTTTATTTTTAGAATTTCCCAAATAAACTGTGAACGATTCTGTAATCAGCTGAAGTCCTGGAACCTTTTCTCGCCGGCTGCCGTTTGATGGGGAAAACCGTCGCCCTCAGCCATTTCCTCTTCACCAGTGGTGACCCTGTGATAGGCAGCCTAAGGTGAAAAAAAAAAAAAAAAAAGGATGTGTGCCAGGAAAAAGGGGCGTGTCTGCATTTGTAAATAGTGGGTCTATTTTTGGGAACGCCTCGATCATGTACAGACGTACTGCCTAGGCCTGCCTTCTGTCGCCATGGGAGCCTCATAACTTTGCTGGATGGAAAAAGTCTGTAAGACTGGCAGGTGGTACACAGGAGCATGGCAGCTCCCATGGCGAGGAGCCGTTTCATCCGCAGCCACCGCCTGGTAGAGATACTCACTGCAAAACAAGCGTGCCTGTTATGGAGGTACAGTGAAGGCAGCGGAGGCAAATCTCCATATGAAGCTATGAACCAAATGTTGTTCTAAGCCAGAAAGATATAACGAAATAAATAAGAATAATATTGGGCTCTTTTTGAATAGTCAAAAAAAGTTTATTTCACGTGTCGTGTAAGAGAAGCTGTTAGGAGCCTGACCTTTCTTTCCAAACTAGCTAGCTAGTTGGCTCGCTGTACTGACCAAACGGGTTCAGGTTGTAATAAGACTATATAATTGTGACATGGAATAATTTTCATGTTACTGGGTTGTGGTAACCAGCTTTAAAAGAACTGGTTTGTTTGCTTGACATTAGCCTCTTAATTGCTGAATTCACACTTTGACCAAAGAACGTCATTAAAGTCCTTATTGACAGAGTAGTCATCTCGCAATAGGAAACGTGGGTTTTATAGTTTGTCTGTGTCGTGGACAAACTAGAGGTGTGACATTTGAGGTGAGACGGGGGGGGAAATGAGACAAATGTAAATTCACAACTAGAGATTGGTATGACTGTGCCTTGTTTTGTTTTTGACATTGTTTTGTGTTTTAATTGGAACAACTGAATTATATATTTAAATTTGTAATTATAAAAGTCTTTTAAATGTTCTATATAAGATTTTGTTGCCGTACCATAAGGGTCATAACCAGACAGTCCGCTTAAATCAAGTTATACTGACTGGATTTCCACACATTTTACTCTGTTTACAGAATAATTCATTTAAAGGAAAAGGGGGCATCAATCTCCTCGCCCATCTGATTTTTTTTTTTTTCTTGTGCCATACAGTAGATGCCTGTCCTTGTACTTTCACACTCATTCGTCAGTGTCACTTTCACCAGACAAGGAGCTTGCCAATGTCGTTAAGAAAAGATTCAATGAATCCAAATATTGCTGCGTAATTCCTACTCTGGATCACTCCTTCACGTCAAACAGTGTTTACCTCCAGCCATTCTGTTTGGATTGAAAACCAAAACCAGTATACCTGTGACCTAACTTGTGTCAGAGCAAGTCGGGACGTTGGCATTGAAGACTTTTTTTTTTTTTTTTGCAACGTGCCCCACAAATATGACAACATGCTTGGCGAAGTATCAAAGACACCAGAGCATAGACGTTTTGGTCACCATTGTGTGATTTATTCATTAATTTTTAGAGAACATATTAATTAAAATCACTTTAAACAAATTCCATTTTTTCTTTCATAAATATGTCATATTAAAGAGAAACGTTTCACCTTGTGCCTTTAGAGGGGAGCTTTACACAGATGCATCCATTTTTAAAAAATTTTTTTAAGCCATGGAAGAGCGTAAGGCACAAAATAGAAACCTTATCCTTACAGTTTAGTCATGCTAATACAGAGTATGTCCACAAATGTGTAGGGAAAACTATTCTGGAAGCTACAATCAGCTAATGATTCCCAGCAACATTATGGAGTGCATGCGCCGTAAGACGGATAACGTGGTGGGTGCGGGGGGGGAGAAGGCTACAGATGAGAGTTGATATGTGACACAGCAGAGGGAATCACTCGACAATATTTGGTCTGAAGGAAAGAAAGTCTGCTGTAAAGTGCATAATATTTGATGTACGAGAATCATACAGAAAAAAAAAATTTGGACAATAACTTCAAAGATAAAATCCTTTGGTTGACAAAGATCAATTATTGCCACCTTCTAAAAATAAGTAACAGTCCAGCGAACTCCTCTCTGAAACAATGAACACAACTGAGCCTGTGGTTCACTTAACAAAATAAAAAGAATATCCCTTTGTCTATTTACAGGCACGCCTGCAGTGCAAGAAGTCTTCTAATTTCAGCAGGTAAGCATACCGTTGTTCAGCTAACTCGTTGCTCGAAAAAAGGTCAACTCCTACTTATAAGCTCCTGCTAATTGGGAACTTTTGTCGTTAAAGATTTGCACCTCGTATTCTCTGATTGTCTTTGCATCGGTGTGACGTGATCTGGGGCTGGAAGATGGAGAAACGTTGTGTTTGAGAAACATAAAGGCACTAAGGTCAAAAGCAAAATGAGAAACTGAAGATTAAAAAGAAAGTGGGAAATGTTCATGATACAAGCATAAGGCATACATTTTTTTTTTACCAGATATGTTTATACAAAAAAGTTATAATACATAACATTCGGCATACATGAAAAAGAAGATATTAGGAATAATAATAATAATAATAACAATAACAGGAAAGCAAGTAAAAAGCGATTACCATGTATTCACATACGCCCGACATATTTCAGAACATTTTGCTCTGTTCCTCTGTAAACAAATCATTGAAATGATATAGATATATATATATATATATAGAAAAAATGACATATAAAAACTTCTGCTTTGGGCTTCAGTGAACCATCTGCACATGACTGCTGCTGTTTTGACAGTAGGACTGCTGTAAGGCACCAGTTTGGTTGTTGCTGAATGAGTCAAAGTAACGAGGCCCGACGCCGCCCAGCTATCCTGTCCGTGCATTAACGCCGACTTGAGATGAAGATTGTCATTTTAAGAGGAGCAATTCAGTCTTCTTGAACTGCTTGGTCCACTAATAGAACATCTGCTCTGAATTAAGGCAAGTGTAGTCACATACTTTGCCCCTGATATCACTTCCCTTATTTTTCTTCCTCTTCTTCGTTTTTTTGTTTTTTTTTCTTCGATACGACATTCACCTTGTTTATTCAAACAGAGCTTGCCGGTGATTGTCGGTTTGAGTCTGCAGCCGCTTTCTGAGTTTAAACACCCAGGCAAGAGATCTTCGTCAAAGCTTCTTTTCTTCTTCTTTCTGTGTGTCATCTCTCAGCTGATGTTGCTGCTGGAGTGTGTGTGTGTGTGTGTGTGTGTGTGTGTGTGTGTGTGTGTGCGCGGAGATGTGCTGCAGCAGAAGACATCTGGACGTCTACGCATGAGAGTGCACAGAAATGCTGGAGAGGTCGTTCCTGATGATCTCGTTCACTGTCGAGACAAGAGAAACAAAAGGATTGTTAAAAATCACACAGCTAATGAGAACTCACACTGTTGTCATTTTTAAAATGCTGGCCAGGCTTCTGGTTTTTAGTGGCTCAAGCAAACCCTGGAAGTCGAGGCTAATTGACTAAATTTCTCTTCTATCCTTTTGTTTATGCATTCTTAATGGAAAGTGTACTTTATTTTAATAACTATTAGACTAGTTGATTGTAGTTAAAAGAACAATACAAGAAACATGTATTGCCTGCAGCCTGCTTTTTTGCCATGTTTTATTTTAGCATGTTAATAGAAATTAAGTAAATTAAATGAAATGCGTAATGCAGACAGCACGGACTAAATCTGTAACAGGATGAGGACCGTCTGCCGGCGTTTGGTCAAATTTGAAAGCAAAAATCCTCATGTGATGTGCATGAAATAAAGACTGACTATATCTTGTTTTTCTGAGTTATAGTCTACTCTTGCAGCTTTATTCACAGATATGAAAAGTACAAGATAAATCAGAGGAAAAGCAAATGTTTTTTAGATTCCTGTAGACGAGATAAACGTTCCTATATGACTTTTAGTAGGTCTTTAAAACGTCTTAATGATGAACAAGTATGGCTCTTTCTACTATTATTTCCTGTCTATGATTATGAATGAATGGTTGTATAAAGATAGATTCCACAGATTTTAAAAATATAGTATTTCCATAGAGGACTAATTTATCAAACATTAAGGGAAGAGTAGCTTTTTTGCCAGAAATCTAAACTTCCCAAAACTGACCTTGGTCTAGGAGCAGACTTGTTTTAATGTAAAGATTAAGTGAGGATGCAAAGCAAAATATTTGTATCATTTGTCAATTTGCCAAAATATAGATCTGCACTGTGGCTTTTTGAACAAATCTTCGTTTCAGTTCATCTGTCAACCAGTCTACAAGTTCTGCTATTCAAACATGAGATAAAATAATTAGGATAGTCTGCATACAATAAACATGTCACATTGTCCACACAGAGATAAATATTTCATTTATATACAAGCTAAAGAAAAGCGGAGCAAACATCAAGCCCTGTGGAACGCCTAGGTTGATGGGCTTAGAAAACTGCATGTAGAATTTCAACAATTTGGAAAAGAAACAACATATGGTTTGATAAAATTAACAAATTATATACAAAAATAAAAGACAAGTGATTTTTCTTAAAGCTGTAGACCTTTACTGCACCAATTGCTTTCTGTAGGCCATTTCTGACAAGGCCAGCCCATCACCTTTTATTAAACTGACACATGAAATTAGTTTATTTCTTAGTCAACTTCTAAAAGTGTATGGATTATGATAAAGGTTCCTGTAATGTCGATAAAGGCGTTTCCACTGATTGATGAGAATGGTATAAGTGACTTTAAATAAAATTGAAATCAACACATTTTTGCTTGAAACAAGTTAATCCAGCCGTTGGAATTGGACAAAGAATTTCTTCCCAACAGCATTAACAGTAAATGTAAGCACATCGACACTAGAAAAACATATTTTCGTACAATGGAATGCCATAAGTTTTGACAGGGTGTGTATACATAATGTGTAACGGTGACACCACGCTACAACGGCACAGTGACGACCAAGCAGACAAATACACGGATATCAGAAGCTGCAGTCCAAACATATCGATGTCATTACGAATGCGTATCGGCCTCGCACACACACACATCTGTGTTTTCACGCCGCCGTCTTGTCTTTCCTGCCACCAGTTCCTGTGCCCGTGCTTTTCCCACGGTCGGGGCAGCGCAGGGATCAGTGCCCTCCCTCCCTGGCCTCCTCGGTTTATCTGCTGTCTTCTTTGGCAAAACAGAGGGAAGTGACTGCAGAAAGATGGCGAGGACCCCAAGACCCTGCAAACAGGGGAGCTCCGTTCAGACTCTGGGGTGATAACGCCGAGAGAGAAAAACGAGACGGGTGAGACCAGTGACGGGAAGTCCGCCCACCCCGAGGTTCAAAGGAGGCCTGGCAGTTTATCAACAGATAGGGTTAGGAGAACGGCAAAGCATCAGCACATTTCTAGACGAAAACAACACAAACCCAGCCTGAGGCTCCGTGGATTCAGTGTAAACACACAAAACCGTACTGCAGCTTGTGGCACGACGGCGAAATGTATGTAAAAACTGAAACAATCTACAAGTACACCGCAAAAAAAGATCTTACCAAGTGTTTTTGATCTAGTTTCTGGCGCAAATGTCCTAGTACACTTGAAATATGACAAAACTGATACATAACCTTTCAGCAAGATACAGGAACTTGCTTCAAGTCAATAATTCCCTAATACTGATGAAAAAGTACTATATCCATTGACAGATCATTTCACTTATGACATGGAAAAATTAACTTGTTATAAGTGAATTTTTCTGCTAATGAAAAAATACATTTTCATCAATATTAAGGAATTACTTGCTTAAAACAAGCTGCCATTTCTCGCTGGAAAGTTACCTGTAAGTTGGTACACTTGAAATAAGACAAAACCAACTTGAAATAAGTGTTTCATTGGCAGAAAAATTCACTTCAAGATATTTTCCCCATGTTATAAGTGAAATAATCTGCCAATGGATATAGAACTTTTTCATCAGTATAGAGATAATATTGACTTAAAGCAAGTTCCTGTATCTTGCTTCAGCAAGATACAGGAACTTGCTTTACGGTTTTGTGGTTATCTGTTAGTTTTTGTCTTGTTTCTAAGTGATGTAAGATATTTCCACTACAAACTAGACCAAAAACACTTGGTAAGATTTTGTTTTTTACAGTGCGAGGTACGTAGCTCCAAATCAAGCCTGCTATGATTGATGGATGGATGCAATCTGAAACATCTAAAAGAGAAAGGTCACAAACTTTGAATCTCATGCCCCTGCGCTTTGAATGCAAACACCGTCCTACTCACACGCTCTCACACACACGCAGGTTGGTCGGGGCTCACCTCCCTCAACAGGAGGAACTCCCTTCGGAAAAATCCAACCTGTGCCAACACCGCTGGCTGTTTTCAACCCTGTTCCACTCCGAGGCTAAACAGGCATTTACACGCGGACGTTATTTTTAGCTCCACCATTACAGGACATAAAGGAAGTAACAAGCACATGCAACAATGAAATGATCCAGCGTTAATGCCGCTGCTGCTCGGCTCTGTTTGCAGAGGTGAGAAAACAGCTCCAGGTAATTCTGCACGAGGGCTGGGAAAACCCAACAACTTGGCAGCAAAACAAAAAAAAGCCACAAATGTTCCCTTTATTTTTCTTAGCTGCAAAGTTTGTTGCTTCCTTTAAAAAAAATGTTCTTGTTGTTTAAAAGTTGCGTCCCGTCCACCCACGTATTAACTGTGGCGCTATTTTCAAGCGTTCTCAACTAATATTTTCCGTCAGCATGCAGGGTGATGTTCCGTTCTGAGAAAAAAAAAAAGTGTCACAAAGAGCTGCTGAAGGTAAAACACTGGCCTCTGTGTTGTCATCTTCGTACTCTGTCACCAATGTGAGAATTTTAGAAACAGGATGTGGCCAACTGTCGCACCACAAGACACCGCTGAGCTATTTATAGCCGCTTAATGATGCATCGTGCGTATACTATTCAGTTGCCACAATTTCTGGGAAACTGAGAAATTTTTGAAGAACCTGAATGAGTGATCATCCAAGTTCTTAGCTCTGTGAAGGGTCATAAATGACAAGGACTCGCCAGGTGTCGTGTAGCGAGAAATCTAGAAATCTTCTTCACTTTTTCATATCTAAATTTCAACTGAAGTGAAACTTTCCGCATCAACATGTCACATCTTCAGGATTTCATCGTAAAGAAAACGGCCCCAGGATCCAGAGCATTTGTTTTGCAGCTCTGGAAACATGTTTTTTTTTTGTTTTGTTTTGTTATTTTACTTTCTGCTCCAAGTTAATAATAATGGAAACCTGTAACTGGGAGGATACGCTTTCACGGATAAACAAAAACAGTGGAAAACTAAGCTCCAAATATTCCCCTGCTGAAAAGAAGAAGAAGAAAAAAAGAAACACGTGTCCTGCAAAGCACTGGTTACACAGAGCGTCATCCTTTTATTAGCTGCACCCCCAGAGCGCTCGGTTAAACGCAGCCCGGACCTGTCGAGGCCCATATGTACGGTGGGCTGGGTTATTTTGGGTATGAGAGTGAGATGAAGATTAAGACTGAGATGCAATCTAAGCCTAACAGATGAATCGGCAATCCGGCTCCTTTGTGTGTCCCTGCTGGTGTTTTTTTTTTTTTTGGGAACTGCAGCTCTGTCAACACTGGGTGTGACGGCAGGCTGGGTAAATGTTGACCTCGCTACAATTACCTGCATCCAGTGTGATGGAGGACGATTTGCTTCAACCTGCTATGAAGCATGTCAGTCACTGTGCTCACCGTGTCTCAAGGTGCGGGTGGTGTGTTCAGTTAGTAGTTTTCCTGTCAGCAAATGACCAGATTTAGAGGTGTGGGTGTATGTCTACTGAGATTAAATTACATAAATGTGAACTCCAGGCAGTGGACTGCTCTGGATTTTATTTTGGGCATCGGGGGGGCTCAATACAATTATATGCCACACTTTATTTTATTACTATAAACAAACTGAAAGCTGTTTATGATCTCCCTTCCACTGCTGCATTTATCTACATAAAATCCCAATAAAATGCATTCATGTTTGCTGTGTGAATGTTTTAAAATGTGAAAAAGTTCAGCTGGTGAGAATCCTTTGTAATGGCACTGAATAAAAGACAAAAATCTTAAAACAACGTACTCTACATCCCTTCTGGATTACATAATTGAAAAAAGTAACACTACAAAATAACCATACTGATTATCAACTCGTCTGTTATCAATTTCTAATGTTAAATGAGAAAATGCGTTAAATATTTGCTTAAATCTTAGTTTCTAAGAAATTTAGCTGTAAAAACACCACATGTGGGCCTCAGTTAAAAGCAAAAATGGATGTAAATATTGCAATCTTTTTTAGAAGTTTAATATTTTTGACACTGTAATA